CTTATTCCACTGAGCCATCTCCCCAGCCCCCAAATTTTTTTTTTATGTATTTATTTATTTTACAGAATCAGGGATTGAACTCAGGCCCTTGTGAAAACCTGGTTACATTTTAAATAATTCAACTTCTGGCCTAGTTGTCTACTTGAGATGAAAGAACTAAATTATTTGGTTGCTTCAAAGCATTAAGCTACATTCTGAGGTGAAACAACAATGTACAGAACTTAGTACCTGACCTGAAGAAGCCGATTCATGTGGTAGGAGATAGGTAGCACATTATACAAAATAAATAAATTGAGGCCAGTGAATGCTGAGCGGCTAGTGCAGAAAGAAAGGGCTCTCCAACAGGATTTCTCAGCTTCATCACTAACAATAGATTGGGCTGAACAACTTGTTATTCAAGGGATGTTCTGGACATATGAGGATGTTTAGCAACGTCCCTGGTCTGTACCCACTAGATACTACCAAAGATTCCTGTCTGCCCCAGTCGTGACAACTGGAAATGTCTCCAAACATTGCCAAGTGTCCCCTGGAAGGCAGAACTGCCCCGCCTGAGAAGCCACTGTTGCAGACGTTGGCAGCACAGAAGTTTCATTAGAATGACCCAACAAAAGCTAGATTTTAAACTGGAACCAGAAAACTATGAGGGTACATTTTGGTTACATGAGAGAAAAGCGCTGTGGGGGGAAACAGTACAATACACATGGCAGACTGGGAAACCAGCATGACCTGTGGAAGGAGGGCCCGTGATGAAGGTGTGGACTGTAGAAAACGCACGGGGTCAAGCTGTAGGCCTGGAGGATCAGGGGCAAAGATCCTGAGGAGGCCGTCAGACACCCTGAGGGCTTTGTGACCAAAGCTGCACCTTCTGTAGCAGTCCTAACGTATTCTTTCCCTGTCTTTACTTCTTTATAGGGGATCAGAAAACATCATCTTCTTTACCACCTATGTGAATGGCTCCTGCAGTAAGTACATTTTAGTTCCAGAACAGGTTACTGTGCTGTGCATTCATGGTACGTTGTTCTGGGTAATTCAAGGTAGAAATGAAAGGTCTTTTCCTCTCCTGAATTAAAGATACCTGTTAATGATTTTTGAAATTTTGAAAGTACAACCGAATTACTACACAGTGTCTAGACTCAATAAACATGTAGGCTATTCAGGGAGGCAGTACACTTACTCTTAGCAATGTATTTATGCAAAGCAAGTATTAGGCTAATCGTGAATTAAAAGGTATGATGATTTCTACAAGAGTATCAGTTATGTTTGTGTCATGGAGCCTTTGGCTTCCCGGGCCAGGGCACAGTTTCAAAGCAAAATCTTTCATTATTCATTCAGTAGATGTCTGAATATTTGCTGCATTCTAAACACTGTTATAAGGGCAGAGAAAACAAAACACCCAAGGCCTCTTCTGGAACATAAATTCAAGTAAGAGCGCTTGATGACAAACAAGAAATGAAAACTCAAAATGATTTAAAATATAATAAGACAGCTTTAAAGTGCACCATGAAGAAAGGAAAATAATATTCTGTAGTTGTGCTATTTTTATGTAACACTTTATTGGAATTAAGAAAATTGAATCATTTTTTTTTAAATTTGGCATGTTTGTTTGATTGATTGATTGATTGATTGATTGATTGATTGATTTGAACCGGGGATTGAACTCAGGCCCTTGTGCTTGCCAGGCAAGTGCTTATTCCACTGAGCCATCTCCCCGGCCCGATTGAATCATTTATAAAATAAAATCCAAATGTGAATTCTCTATCAGATGCTATGTTGCTAAACATGCAAAGGATTAAAAATGTGTTTGCTGTAAGGTTAAGAGCACTTCTAGGGCTGGCAGGATAGCTCAGTGGACTAAGCACCTGCTTAAGCAAGCTTAGGCAAGTGCAGGGACTGTGGCTCAATCCCTGGCACCACATGCCTCATCAGCCCTGCCCCCAGGGCAGGGTGAGCCAGCCAGAGTCCAGGCATAGTGATGTATGCCTGTAATCCCAGTCCTGGGGAGGCTGCCAAACAGGAGGATCATTACGAGTCTGAGCTACATAGTGAGACCCTGTAACAACCAAATACATTAAAGAAAAAAAAAAAAGCACTTCTAAAGCAGCTGGTTTGAACTAGACTCATCAATAAATGAAATTTTAATTAATATTTTGTCTTGTTTAAGAAGCTGACCTTGGAGCATTGGAATTATGGAGAACTTCAGACTTAGGGAAAACCTTCAAAACCATTGGTGTGAAAATCTACTCATTTGGTCTTGGAGGGCGTTTCCTTTTTGCCTCTGTGATGGCTGATAAGGTAAGTAGCAGTCTCTTCACTTTGGGCCATCAGATCTCTGTAAATGTGCCTTTTGGATTCCCTTTCACTGTGTAATATTGATGGAGCTCCTTGTCTTTTTGCAGTATTCAGTATCATACAATTTGGGGTGATTTATTTATTTATTTTTTAATTTTATGTATTTAGTACAGGGTCTACAGTGTCTAACTACACAGATCCAAGTCGTAGGGATTCTCCTGTTTTCAGCCTTCCCAAGTGCTGGGATTACAGGCATGTGCCACCACGCCCAATTTCAATCACTGTTTGAGCACACCCCAGGGTTGGGGCCAGCACAGCATTTTGGGGATCAAACCCCAGTCCTTGCGACTGCCTAAGCAGGCACTTAGGCCGCTGAGCTAGCTGGCCGGCCATTGGGTGATTTCTTTACAGAGGCTGGTTGATCCTTATGCCCTAGAGACTTTGATCACCAAGTGAAGTCTTGTATTTTAGATTTGGAGACCCAGAGTCTGGGCTGTAGATATCTGAAAAAGCAGTCTGCTTTTGTAGTATCCAAAAATAGTAATAAAAATAAAAATGGGTAACTAATTGACTACTATATAGTTTATACTTTTCTGAGTCCCTAAAATATAGCAGTGAACACATAGATAAATTTCTTGCTTTTAAGGCTTATTTTCAAATGGGGAAATAGATACTAAGTGAACAAATATAACCAGTATTAACCTAAGCTGTGAAGCAATCTAAAGCAATGTAAGGAAACAAAGTGCTAGGAATTAGGGCAGTGCAGGTATAGCCAGCGAGGGCGGTGGGCTCTCAGAGAGCTGAGTGGGATGAGAATGTGGCCATGTGGACGTCCAGGCGGCAAGTTGGATGGGAGCAGCCAGCACACAGGTGCACGCCCTGGCATGTCTGACTGTTGAAGAAAGGGGAAAGGGCCGTGTGACCGGAGCACGGGGAGTGTGCACGGGGGAGCCAGCCAGGGAGCCCACAGCCAGGTCCTGCTCTCCAGCTCACAAGAAGGATGTTGGATCTTATGCTGTGTGTGTCAGTGAGCAGTGAAAGGGTTGTGAGCAGCAGTGTGCTGTGAATTGACTTCCTTGTTAGCAGAATAAATATGCACAGAGCAGGCTGAGGGGGACAGAATGGAAGCAGCAAGGGCCGCTGGGAGCAACTTCAGTAGCCAAGTGAGAGGACGGGTTGCTAACAGCAGACAAGGGAAGAAGTTAGGTTGCAGATGTATTTTCAGTCTGTTGGTAGTAGGACTTGCTGATGGATTAAATGTGCGCTATGGGCTGAACATGGTAGTGCACACCTGTAATCCCAGCACTCAGGAGGCCAAGGCAGGAGGATCGCGAGTGCAAGGCCTACTTGAACTACTTAGCAAAACCTTGTCTCCATTGGATGGTTGATCTCAGAAAATGGCAGAGGCTCCATGAGGAATAGATTTGTGGAAGAAAAAGCAAAAAAGTCCAAACTGGGTATGAGATGCCTCCAGAACACCTAAGAGGATGTGTCAAGTAGGAATCTGAGTATGTGAATCTCACAAAATTATATGGTACTTAAAGCCTGGACGAATGAGTAGGTAGAGGAGCGATGAGAGGATTGGGGAAGCCCTGAGCACCAGTGCGCTGAAGGTTGGAAAAGGAATCTAGCAAAGACTAGAAGGAAGGACCAGTGAGGTGAAGGGAAGTCAGGCCAGGGCAATACCATAAAAGACAGGGAAGAAAGGGCTTCGGGAGGAGGAGTGGTCGGCTCCAGTAAATCCCAGGACGATGCTGAGTAAGATGAGTTTTGAGAATTCCCTGTGGGAGTTGGCAAATAAGTCTGTTGGTAACTATCTTAGTTACTCTTCTCCTGTTGCTGGGACAAATACCTGACACCCAAAATGAAGGAAGAAAAGGTTTATTTAGCTCACAGTTACTGGAGGTTTCAGTCCATATTCAGCTGGGTCCAAGACAGCAGAACATAGCAGAAAGCAACCTTTCAGGGTGGTGGCAAAGAGCAAGAGCAAAGGGGAGGAGTAGCAGCAGCTCAAGCAGCTAGCTTCTCTTTCCTCCTTACATTGAAATGCAGATTACCTGCCCCAGGGCAGGTGTAGCATCCACACCCACAGTAATCAATCACAAACTCCAGAAGCCACCCCAAGACGGCTTGAGGCTTTGGGAGAACACCTAGACCCAAACCGTAACAGTGACCTTAACAAAAAGTGTCACTGGAGGAGTGAGGTTAAAAGACTGATTTGCAGGGCTGGAGAGATGGCTCAGTGGTCTAAAGCACCTACTTGGAACAAGCTTGGCAAAGCACAGGGACCGCGGTTCGATCCCCCAGCACCACATGCCAGCCAGCCCCGCCCCCGGTGGGCTGAGCTGGACACACACACACAATAAATGTAAAAATAAATTAAATAAACAAAATCTTTAAAAAAAAAAAAAAAAAAGACTGATTTGCTGGGTTTGGAGAGAACTGGAGATGGGGAAGGGCAGGCAACTCAAGCAGTTCTCTAATAATCCTCCCAACAGCCCTGGCAGCTAATACTTTAATATCAGATTCATAAGTGAGGACGTCGAGTGACTTGCCTACTGCGCTATTTATAAGATGATTTCTGCCAAGTGGTTTTGAGTTGTAGTTTCTACCTGTAACTGAGAATAAAGTACAAAGCAACTAGATGCCTCAGTATAAAGTAAGTAAATAAATACTCTTATTACTGAACTTTAGCGTATTTAAGGGGCCGGGGAGCTGGCTCAGTGGAATAAGCGCTTCCTTGGCAAGCACAAGGGTCTGAGTTCAATCCCCGGTTCCATAAAAAAAAAGAGTATTTAACCTAAAGAAACCAAAGATTACTTCTCATACCCTGGCTAACTGTGTCTTGTAGTTCTTTTAAACTATTTCTCAGTCCAGGTGTAGTGGCACATACCTGTGGTTGGGAAGGGTTGTCAGTTTGAGACCAGCCTGGGCTGTGTAGCAAGGTTGAAATAGTAAGACACTGTCTCAAAAACAAACTATTTATCAGAGAGTGGGCTTTAATTGCCTTTGTAACATACTCTGTTACCAACCAAATGCTCTCATCGTCCCTTGTAGTAATTTCAGACTGTTCCCAGCCCACGAATGTTCCCTTCATCAGGGCTGTTCTGTGAGCTCCTGTAGGACACGTTACATCCTGACTTTTCTCTGTGACATCTCAAGCATGGATTTCATCTCCATTTTCTAATTATTTAATTCTTTGGGTTATGCCAGGACTGTCTGAAAGGGACCAAACCTTTATTCAGCAATCATCATTTTTAGAATCACCTGAATAATATATGCAAATAACTGTAAGGCTAAGCAAATGACATCAACATCAGATCCTTAGGCTTAGCTCTGCTGAAGAGATCTGGGGCATCATCAGAATTCGGGAACTGATGGGCCAGTGAGATAGCTCAGCGGACTAAAGCGCCTACTTAGGCAAGTGCAGCGACCGCAGTTCTATCCCCAGCACCACATCTGTACCAGCCCTGCCCCCAGAACAGGCTGAACTGGCCAGAGTCATGACATGGTGCCACATGCCTATAATCCCAGCACTGTGGAGCCTGAAAACAGGAGGATCACCATGAGTCCAAGCCGTGTAGTGAGACCCTACTACAACCAAATACATTAAAAAAAATAAATAAATAAAAATAAAAATAAAAAATAAAAATAAAAATTCTTAAAAAGAAAAAGAACAGGGCCGGGGAGATGGCTCAGTGGAATAAGCGCTTCCCTGGCAAGCGCAAGGGCCTGAGTTCAATCCCCAGTTCCACCAAAAAAGAAAAAGAATGAGAGAACAGAAGAGAATGCCCAGACAGCTCCATTTCTAGTAGAATGGATTGCTCCATAGCCTGGAAGGGGTCAGACATTGCTTTGATAACAGCTATTGTGACCTTTCTTGCAATTGTACCCACTGGGGAAATGAATACTAGAAATTTTAAGATGTTGGCCTATTTTTCTAGGATACAACAAGAAGGATCCATGTGTCCACAGATCAAGGGGACACGTGGAGCATGGCCCAGCTTCCTTCTGTGGGGCAGGAGCAGTTCTATTCTATTCTAGCAGCTAATGATGACATGGTCTTCATGCATGTAGATGAACCTGGAGGTAAGCGTCTTAGCCTTCGAGTGCATAGAGATTTAAGCTTTAAGCCTTGCTTTAAGAAGCTTTCCTTTTTGTATGTCAACTTTTCCTTTCACTTCTAGACATTTATTAGCACCCTATTGATTCTAAAGATAATATGTTGCTGCTTTAGTTTTTAGTTTTGTTTTATAGTTCAGGCTGACCTTGAACTCATGGCAATCCTGCCTCAGTCTCCCAAGTGCTGGGGCTACAGGCAGGTGCCACCACACTTGGCTGCATTGTCTCTTTAAAAGGCCATCTGTTTTGATAGTTGCTTTGGTTTATGTATTCTAGAACAAATGTTCTAGAAGTGAGCTGTTCAGAATTGTCTGCAGCATTGGTAGGACTGGCACTGATTTGCTGGTATTAGGTAAGTTAGGAATTGAGAGCATTTAGAAACTCTTAGCCACTTGACAAAGTAATTTTATATCTGTTGAATCTAATAATAAATCAAGGGATATATTTTGTTTATCTTCTCTATTTCAGGCTGGGGAGATACCTCAAAAGTATAAACGCCTGCCTGACAAGTGTAAGGTCCTGAGTTCAATCCCCAGTACCTCCCCCCCCCAAAAAAAAAGACTGAGATAGCTTGACTGTTTTAGGCACTATGGCCTTGTCCCACCCTCACATATTCTTTTCTATTTCATTTTTCTAGTGATTACTATATTTTGAGTCTCTAATTCACTGATATGTATTAGATATACATAATGATCACATTCATCATAGAGAATTTATACATGTACACAATGTATTTTAATTCTTTTTATGATAATTATCTTTCATAAAAGATTTTGTGACATACTGGACATATGAAACTTGAACCTTCACCACAGATAATTTCGAAACATTTTTCTAGAGTATAAAGATTTAGCAATGTGTAGAACATGAATATAAATACAATGCCTGTACCAGCAAAATATGTCTGAGAAGAGCTTTTCTGTGGCGCCCGAGAAACTCTCCACCGTACAGCACTGCCCACGGGTCAGACACTAAGCAGGGTCCTAGCGCTGAGCGTGGACCTTGATGAGCCCGTGGGACCGCGACTCCAGCGTGAGACAGCTGCCGGGCAATGGTCTGGGCCAGTCAGCTCCACCCTTGTTTTTCTCTCTTCTCTACCAAGGCTTAGGCTTGTGTGTTTGCCTGTTTTAGATACTGGATTTGGCACAATATTTACCTCCGACGATCGAGGCATTGTCTATTCCAAGTCTCTGGACCGACATCTCTACACTACCACAGGTGGAGAAACGGACTTTACCAACGTAACCTCCCTCCGCGGGGTCTACATAACAAGCATGCTCTCAGAAGGTGAGTGCGGCACAGCTGCCCGCCCTGCTCCTCCAGCTCGGTGCTGGGGCCGGAGGCCTGAGCCTGCTGTCCTGTGCTCCAGGAATGTGCTTGTGTGGCCAGCAAGCCCACCCGTGTACAGCCTGCCTCCCTATCTTAAGTAAATTATGGTAACTGAACTTAGGGGAGAGGAAAGCAGCAACAGCTAGAAAGAAAAGTGTTTTAGAGTCAGCGTTGCTTAGTTGGTTAGTCTCCCACAGTGGGAGGTTTAGGCTGGCAGGAATGAGCCTGAAGTTGAACTACTTCTCTTCCTAGAGAAGGCATGGCAGTAACCAGCCAAGATGCTTCCAGAGCTCGGCCCCAGGGCTCTGGAGGGCTCGCCTTTCCGAGGGCACAGATAGGCAAACAAACAAAGTGAGGGAGAGAGTGTGTGGAGGTAGGATGCTTGATCTTTTTAACAAACCCTTTTCAGGGGCTTACAAGGTACCAAGTGACGTTGGGTCCCTCTTTCTTCCCTGACCTTACCTCCAACACTTATGTCCTTCATTTGCCCTGCACCACTCACACTAACCCCCTTCTGGTCCTGGACACCTCGGCCACGCACTCCTTGCATAGATTCGCGCCGCCCGTTCTCTCTATGTCCCTGCATGTATGCGAGGCTGAGCGCTTGTTCTTCATGTCTTTGCCCACGTGCTCCTTTCTGAATGAGACCTGCCCTATTTTATTTTGAATTCCAATCTGCCCTCCTCACACACATGCTCCCATTCCACTGTTAGCTGTGTGAGTGCTTTCCATAGCTTTTATTTTCTGGCACACTATATATTAATTTACCATTCTGTCCAGAACTTGTCTCACCCTACCAGTGTGTGTATTTCACAAGAATTTTTCTTTTGTTCACTATTATTATTTTATTCACTAGTAACTTTTATATTCCTAAAGGTTTACAGTAGTTACGCTCTTTAGATACTTAGTAAATGTTTGTTGAATAAATGCATTTTCCTTCACTTGCTTTCCTAGTTGATATTCCTTGAACTGATTAAAATGTATGAAATACAAACCTGCAACAGTTTCATCATTGAAAATAGAGAACAAGAAGGTGAATGTAAGGGAAGAATATCGTGTAAGGAGTAACGGGCTATGGGTAGCAGAGAGACGCGATTAGGAATTGTTGGTCCCGCACACATATTCAAGCCCGGAGCTGGGCATGGTGGTACACACCTGTCATCCCAGCACTGGGAGACTGAGGCAGGTGGACTGCAGCGAGTGCAAGGCTAGCCTGGGCTGTATAGTAAGCTCAAAGCCAGTCTAAGCTAGATAGTGTGATCTTGTCTCAGAAAACTAACCGAGCGCCCCTAAGACCTCACCCAAATAGAAATGAGGGTGCCGGACCATGCTAGGGTTCCTTCTGGGTCATCAGACAGAAGGAGCATAGACACCAGCCTGCTCGTACTAGTCAAGAGTTAAACTGTGTGGTCACCTTCGAGTTTCTATAACAAAATACCTGAAGTAATCAGTTTATACAAGAAAAGAGGTTTATTTTGACTCACAGTTTGAATGATTTCAGGCCATAGTCATTGACCCCATTCTTCTGAGCTGATTGTAGCACATCGGGGCAGGAACGTGTCATGGAGAAAGCCCCTTCACCGCCCAGAGAGGAAGCAGAAGGGGCCAGGGTCTCAGTGTCCCCCTCAAGGGTCCCCAGGGACATAACTTCTTCCCACTCAGCCTGGTCTCTTACAGGTGCCTCCACCTGTAATAAAGGCCCAGGCTGGTGAGCAGCCCTTTCGGACACGGGCCTCAGGGCACACTGAAGACCTAAACAATGAGCTAAAAGCTCAGCCCAAATGATTTCTGGGGTCCGCCCACCCCCGCTCGGGCAGTAAGCCTTGGACAAGCCTCATGTTTAAGGTGCTGCTCAGTTACTGAACATCACTGAGCCATTTTTGCCAGGCATTAAAAGCCTATGGGAAAAAAAAAGCGTATGTGAAGGGGCCGGGGAGATGGCTCAGTAGAATAAGCACTTCCCTGGCAAGTGCAAAGGTCTGAGTTCAATCCCCAGTTCTGCTAAAAAAAAAAAGAAAGAAAGAAAAAAGAAAAGCCTATGGGAGGGCCAGCCAAATACCTCAGTGAATTAAAGCGCCTGCTTAGGCAGATGCAGGGCCGGAGTTCTATTATAGGGTGTGCTGAGACTGGGCGTGGTAGCGCACACCTGTAATCCCAACTCTTGGGAGACTGAACACAGGCAGATAACTACGAGTCCAATCTCTGTAGTGAGACCCTGTAGATCCTGTAGATCCTTACGAAAATAAAAATGAAAGCCTGTGGGACATCAGGGTTAGAGTGGTGTTTTCTGGTCTCAGGAGCAAGTTGTATAGTGATAAACCATAACCGGTGCTTCCAGTGTATCAGACTGGTGGCCGTTCTCTTCCCACTCAGATAACTCTATCCAGACAATGATCACTTTTGACCAAGGAGGAAGGTGGAAGCACCTGAGGAAGCCTGAAAACAGCGAGTGTGATGCTACCGCCAAAAACAAGAATGAGGTTTGTGTGCCCCAGCGTCGCATGTGGGTCCAGAGAAGCAGCCAGGCCAGGCTTCTGAGGAATTAAGTGTGCATGAGATTAGGATCCACAGTTTTAGATGGACAGTTTGGAAATAAATGTAATGAAATTAACTTAGACTTTGGGAAATAGGAACTTTCCAGAAAGATGAAAATATTATGGGTTGTCCTTTAAAGACCAAAACCAGTGGCTGCTTTGAAAAAAAAACAAACAAAAAAACAAAAAAAAAAACAGTGGCTGACAGTTTGTTTACTAACCTGTGGGATGGAAACAGCATGGACAGATGTGCTAGCTGGGGGTCAACATGGCAGTGATGAGGCTTTAGGGAGCCTAAGCCAACGAGTAGCCATGCACGAACACTGCAGAGACCCACTGGACAGAAAAGGTGAGGGCGCACTGGCCTTCATAGGCCTCCAGTGCTGGCCCCGCCAGCGACCCGCATTCTGGGAATGCAGGGGAAACCCTCTGAGGATGGACCTGGGGATAGAAACAAAAATGCCACTGTGGGAGATCCCAGACCCCAGGAGTGACAGGTCTTGACAGGCAAGAGAGAGGAGCAGCTTTGTATCTGGCTCTTAACAGAATCACAGAGGCACGTAGGGTACAACCCGCAGTGGTGCTGGTGGCGCCTGGCCTCTGGGCACCTGCAGCTGTGGAGCACTTGCTTCCTAGACTCCCCTCGTCCATGGGAGAGTCTCAGCTGGTGTGGGATAAAGTCTTCCTGCACTGCACCAACACACTCTTCTCCTTCCCCCACACGTGCTGAGTACCTCTGCTTCCGTCTCTTTCCCCTTTCTCTGCCGTGGCCTTGCCCTCTGCCTCCCCTCCTGCCCTTCAGCCACAGCAGGCACAGTGGCCTTGTCATTGGCCTGGCCACCTGGTGCTCCCCATCCCTCTTCCCAGTGTTCTTCACGGTTCCCCTTTGCCTGGGATAGTCTGTGCCCTGGGCCTGGTAAACGGAGATTGTCCTCTGTCGGGTCGCTCTGCCTCTTCATTGTTCCTACCCGTTGTACCCCTGGCCTACACGTGCCATTCCTAAACACTGCATGTGTCCGGTCTCTGTGACCTCTGCAGCATTTATGGTGGAAGTTGTGCCTGTCTCCCTGAACACCAAGTAATCAGGCTTAGTGGAAATCGTAAGCATCCGCAGGCCCCTTAAGTTAGAACTAATCACTCTTCTTCATGAATAGCTTGCATAAAACTTTAAAAAAAAAAATATATATATATATATATATATATTTATTTATGTGTGTGTGTGTGTGTGTGTGTGTGTGTGTGGCCAGCTCAGCCCACCAGGGGGCGGGGCTGGCCGGCATGTGGTGCTGGGGGATTGAACCGTGGTCCCTGGGCTTTGCTAAGCTTGTTCTAAGTAGGTGCCCCAGAACACTGAGCCATCTCACCAGCCCCCTCAGTTATCTTTTGTGTGTGTGTGATAACATTTAGGGTCTACTCTGTCGAATTTCAGATATACCTTATGGTCGTATTGACCGCAGCCGCCATGCTGCGCGTTAGCTTGCCAGAAGGCGCTCATATTGCGTAACTGAAATCTTGTACCCTTCGGCACTGCTGCCCGCTCTCCTTCAGTCTTTCTAATCCCCGGCAGCCACCATTCCAGTCTCTGCTTGTACGAGTTCAACTTCTTCAGATTCTGTATGTAAATAAAATCATACGCTGTTTGTATTTCTATGCCTGGCTTATTTTACTTACTAAGATGTCTCCGGGTTCATCCACATTGTTGTAAATTGCAAGCTTTTCTCTTTTAAGACTGAGCAGTATTCCATTGTGTATAAAGCCCACCTTCTAAACGTTCATCAAAAGACACAGTGTGATTCTGTATGCTGGCTGTTGTGAATAATGCTGGAATGACTATGGGCGTGTGCATGTCTCAAGATTCTGATTTCATTCCTCTGGATGAATACCCAGAAGTGAGATTGGTGGTATTTTTATCTTTCATTGTTTTTGGTGTTTGGGGGGCTTTTTGGTGGTTTGGTTTGGTTTGGTTTCGTGACACAGAGTCTCATTAAGTAGTGTAGGCTGGTCTTGAATTCACTATTTAAGTCAGGCTAGTCTTGAACTCAGCAGTCCTCCTGCCCCTGCCACCTGAATGCTGGGATTACAGGCGTGGGCCACCACGCCTGGCTGTGTGTCTAACTTGGTAAGAAACTCCATATTCTTGCATATGACTGTAACAGTTTACATTTCTACCAATACAGGATGAGGGTTTCCTCTTTGCCACATCTTGCTAACATTTCTTATTCATCTGTCTGATTGATAATGGCATTCTAACAGTTATATAGAGATGCCTCTTTGTGGCTTTATAAGCTTTTTCATGATGATTAGTGATGTTGAGCATTTTTTCATGTACTTGTTGGCTTTTTTTTAAAAAAAAAAAGTTATTCATGCCCTTTGCCTATTTTTCTTTGCCAGTTTAAAATGGTGGTGTTGGGGCCGGGGAGATGGCTCAGTGGAATAAGCGCTTCTCTGGCAAGCACAGGGTTCCAAGTTCAATCCCCAGTACTGGAAAAAAAAAAAAAAAATGGTGTTGTTTTCCTGTTACTGAGTTATTTGTATATTAATGCCCATCAGATGTGTAGTTGGCAAGTATTCTTTCCCATTCTTTGTGTTGCTTTTAGACTCTTTTAAATATTTCCTCTGCTTTATAGAAGCATTTCAGTTTGAAGTAA